ATGGGAAAAAAAAAAACTGTATTAAAAGGATAAATTATTTTTAAGTACTTTTCAAGCAGTTTGTGTCTGTGTGTATACATACAAAATGGCTATGAAGTTTACTGGCTGCACTCTATCATATTACATAATTAATCGATCTCCAATAGTGGAAAAGTTGGCAGAACTGCGAGTATCGGGCATGGTCACGATGATTCAGTGATATCACACAACTTCGCAACGTGTTACAACTCGCTTTTTATGAGCTACCAGTTCTTATGCAGTGAAGGTTCTTCCAGCACACGTAAGTGATCTCGCGGCGTATTAACTAGCTAGTTTAAGTTTCTTCGGGTGGGGTGAGACAGTCCACTTGGTACGTCGGCAATTAATTGGCCTATTATACCAGCCCCGGATGATAGATGATGAGTGTGGAGCAGTCGGTGGGATGAGAATTGACAGGGGAGACCTAAGTACTCGGAGAAAACCTACCCCAGTGCCATATTATCCACCACAAATCCCACACGAATTGACCTGGGCTCGAACCCGGGCCGCCTCGGTAGGAAGCCGGCGGTTAAGAGCCTGAGCTATGGCACGGCCTTGATTAGCTAGCTAACCAACCATCTTCATGAAGTCGAGTCATTCTTGAGAAGCCACCAGCCGCTCAGCTACTCAGAAATTTCCCAAAACTTTATGAAACCATAAGGTCCATTATCGTGTTCACAAGAGCCCGCCACTGGTCTCTAACCTAAGTCAGATGAATCCAGTCCATACCACCCCATCCCATTTTACATGTTAGGGCGCTATATGAGATAGGAGTTAGTGATATCAGCTGGCGAAAGCTTTGGAAAGGAATTTCAAGCCCAAATGGAGTTGTCTGTCATGAGTGGAACTCATTTAATTTGTACGAGTTGAAAGTTAGTGCTCATTTCAGAGGAAACTATTGCTTGCATCTTCAGGTTTGAAGAGAAGGTCAAGCAAGAAACCGAAAAGAATGAATCAGCAAGCGGAGGGCTGATTTTTATTAACTATATATATTTCTTACTTCCCTCCAATTTGAATAAGTGTCAACTTACAATTAATAGTTGGATATAAATTTGATGTTTGTTGATTGTAAGAGTTCAGCGTTGTTACGCTTATCTTAATGGAGGCATCTATGTAGTTGCAGAATATCATTTCCCTTTCTCACATTAACTACATTTGGTTTCCTCTAATTTGAAGACTGAATTTCAAACATAGCTTGTTCTGTCCAACAGGTCTCTTCTTTATACTAGTACAATCTTGCTTTAAATTAAAATTGATTCTTCTTTCTTCCGATTAATATTTTTTGTTTGAAATAGGCAAAATAGGCATAATTTTAAAAATATTTTAAACCCTTAAGACAAGTAATAAATAGATGCTCGAAACTGTAATACTCTACCCTATATTTTCAATTAAGAATGTCTGAATTTGGTTTACAAAACTTATAATAGAAACCATTTTGGCGTTGCATGAAAACAGAGCACAGTAAACATACAAAAATATATTCATAAAATTTCTATCATAACTGGATTATAACAACGCGTGGTCCCTTGAAAGTTAACAGACATTTTTGAGGCACATGTCGCCTCCATCTTCAGGGTTGACGAGTACGTAAAGCAAGAAGTCAAGCCAAACTGGCAGCAACGTGCTGTTTCCGTAACGTCCCTTTACTTTCAACGGACTATACGGTTTCATGTCACAGAATACAGAACTCTTCATGAACATTGCTGTGAAAACCTCATATCCTACAAGCATATGCAGGGAGTGCATACAAGCAACCACAGTATACTTGGGATTGGCACTGAAACTGTTGAAGATTGATTATACATGAGGTGTTCTCTGTTTGGATTGGGGCTGTCTCTGTTTTATAGAGAAATCAAGAGATAGGTTATATAGACAGATTCGCCTCTGGTATCCTTCTCGAAAAGTAAACCAACACCATTGTCCTCGGGATAGTGTGAGTCATTAGGAAACATATACAATATATGTACCACGTTTTCTTCCCTTGTGGTTTAACTTGCAGGTCATGGAAGTAGGTATTTGGGTCACGAAGGGGAATTTGTCAAGTTTGAAATACAAACTGTAAGCCGTGCACGAAGTAATCTTTCCCCTACATCTTACACTCTCCCCTCCACATCCTATGAGTTATTATTTTTGGTGGATGTTACAGTGGACTTAAAGCGATTTGAACTGTGACGTCAGCAAGTGAAAGCGTCATAGTTCGCAGATCCTTAAAACTGTGCCAAGAAGTTATATGTTCCGCGGATCACTTGCCTTTCAAATTCGGTCTTTAAAAGATTCTTTAAATTAATAAATTTCATGTATGTGTAAACAGACATAATGACATGCAAACCATTTTCTGTATATTTGCGTATTATTCTATGATGTTTCTGCAGGTTTAAGAAGAGATGTCGAAATGATTACGTCAGGTGGGTTTCTTTTTGTTACGTCTACAAATAGCAGCATGCAAAAGAGTACCAAAATACCTACTTCCCTGCTCCTGGACTGAAATGGCACTGTCCCGGGGCGGTATGCAGATGGAGTCATGGCAGCCTGGATTTCCTACTGATGATTTAGAGGAAGGAAAGTATGGCTGAAGCCATGCCTCTCATAGCGACCGCAGCGCCAATTTACAATACTCTGTAACCAGACTCTTATTGGCTTCGTTATGTTTTCGTCTGTGACAATGTAAGCAGTATGTTCCTTAGAAATGCCAGCGAAATTTTAGCGGACTAAACGCCATCACATCCCTGTAAGAGCCTAGCAATACATAAAGCCCACCGCTGTCGCTAGAGTTCGATCACAGTTTAGGCCATGTGGGATTCATTGTGAACAAAATGGCGCTGGAGCAGGTTTTCTCATAGTAGTCGGTTTCCTCTACCAGTTCTTATTAAACCAACTGCTCCGCACTCAGTTTTCAAACTGTCACCAACTCTATATCGTCATCATACTGATAACACCGTTAACAAAAATAAATAAAATACCAATTGTGACCTTAAGAATATAAAGTGTGAGGTTAGGTTTAATTGGTTCATGATAAATCACAAATGTAGATTCTTAGGAGCAACGTTAGACGTCATTAAGAGCAAGTTATTTCTTAAAGCCGCGCCATAGCTCAAGCGGTTAGTCGCTAGCTTCCCACCGCGGCGGCCCGGGTTCGATCCCGGGTCTGGTCAAGTGGGATTTGTGGTGGACAAAGTGGCGCTGAGGTGGGTTCTCTTAAGAGTACTTCGGTTTCCCCTGCCAATCTTCATTCCACCAAATTCTCCATCATCATAATCACCCGGGCAGGTACAATAGGTCAATCAGTGGCCGCCGTGCCGAGTGGACCCAGTTGGACTCCACCCCCAAACTAAGCGAATTAAAAAAAAAGTTATTTCTTGGGCAAATTAACACGTATCGTGTTCCCAAGAAAGAATCTGCGGTATGGAGTTAGTTAACCCATAAGGAGAGCAGAGGTCAGGGATTTCAGCCATGTCACAACCTAGTCGTTGAACATTTAAATAGAAGCCTCGTACAGAATTAGACATTGTCCTTCGCCCCATGTTCTCTTATTCACGATGTTCTACACGACGGCAGATCTTGGCTAAGCCGGCGAGCGTGCATGTTTCTTCTGTTACATTCAGTGCCAGGGTTGCCAACAAATACATTTTCGCCCAGGACGGTCCGATTTTGGGCTACGGCAGGGATTCTCAAACTTTGTAACAACATGCAAGATTTAAGGTTTTCACGGCGGTGACAATGGAGAAAGCAGTCTTCTGGGATATGGCGCCGTGTAGATATTGTGTTAACCGACGTTTCGGAGGAATGTATCGCCTCCATCTTCAAGGTAGAAGAAAATCCGCAAGGGAAGAACTAGCTTCAGCAGGTGCAAACAGACTTCTGCTTCACAAGAAATTCTGGCATCCTATTATCGTCACGTTAGGAAAGAACTATTCATCGCACTTTAATTAAATTATATATGTAAATATGCAACATGTAATAAAAATAATCTCTTCTTTTTTTGCACCCCAGCATTAAGGAATTTTGACAAAATGAAAACTTAAAAAAAAAATAAACTCACGAAACCACCGCCATCCTCACAGGCATCATCTTTATCATATTGTGACGAATATGGCCATTTGCTAGGCAACGGTTCTCAAACACAATCCCGTGACATTGGGAGAAAAGTAACTAACTGTTCAGGGTGGTGGCATTTATCCAGTTCTCCCAAAGTTATAAAAAAAAAAAAGAGTTCATTCGTGAATTCGCGATATTAATGGATTCATTCGCGAGAAATCTCTGTGTTCGGCTGTGGAGTGTTAACCACCGGAAAACGGAAGCTGAAGAAGTGACCGATACGTAAATCGAACCAAGTCAGTCACAGTAGAAGAGAAGACACTCGTAGTCCAGCAAGGAATGGAGTGAGTCTTAGGCAGTCATTGATTGTGAGCTGTTACAAATGCTTTTAATTGTAATAGAAGTGGAAATAAATCCAATCATCCAATCCAGACCACGTTATCATTAGTCATGCAAACCCCTCAGATGTGACAATATGATATAAAGCAATTGAACCATTAAATGTTTGTGCCACCTAAGAGTTCATAAAAATTGTCTGGCATATTTAGTATCCTGTATAAATAAAGCAAGGTGTATGATAGACAAACTGCGGTCATTATCAGGTGTAAGAAATGTGCTTGACATACACGTCTCTTCCAGCCACAAAGTCTACAACAGCTGGAAAAAGCAAAACAAAAGAAACCTCTGTGGTTTTAGTCCGCAATCGAACTATACCGACCAAATGACAGACGCTGTCTATACAAGAAACTGCTCTAATGTCATGTGAGATTATGGTAAACCAATGTGCCAATAAGGTTCTGATAAGTTGCAGATAACACTAATTCTGCTATTAGGATCCAATGATCTGATATTTTTATTTTTGTATGTGGATTATTTTATCATGCTGCGTGAATGTAAGTTATATAGCATTAAATGGCAGAATGACTGATGAATGTCATCAGCTGTAATCATTTTTATAAAAGACGTTTATTTAAGAGAGCTTCTTAAAAAACGTGTTTTCTATATCTTTCAGTGCTAGATATTATGGTAACACTGATAAATACAACTGGATTGTGGGTAAATGGATCCCCTAGCACATATGCAAATGAAGTTAACATTTTTCAAGACTCAGGGAGAGGGAATGAATTTTTTTTAGTAAGCAGGACACTATACCTATTTTTCAAGAGCTTCTTACCATAATTATTAGGAAAAATTGCATCAAAGCAGATATAAAATAATGTAGTTTCAGGCAAATGGAAAACGCAGTAGACATATACCATAACCCCCCCAAAAAAGTGTTGTGCCCAAAATACATTAATTTCATCCATTTTTGTTAAACCAATGTCTTCCAATTGGCTGTCTTATATTACAGCATGCTGTCATAGCAAAACAAATAGCATCATATATGCGAATACTCACTTGGAGATGACCAATTACATTTGAAACATACAGTGGTAATATAACATGCAACATACATTTGAAATTTCATGTAAACAGTTTATAGAATAAATATTAAGACTTTTCAGGTAATGAGTGGCTTAAATAAGAATTTTTCTCATTTGGCCGACATGAATGCCTGGTCACAATTTCTCCAAGAAGTTTTATTTAGTTAATTATTTTCCAGGTGGATTTCGGTTTGGTTCGTTCTTTGCCAGCTGTAGAAACTGGCCCTTCAACAAGTCAAGAACAGTTCCAGACTTATAAGTGATACCAAATTCCTTACAGGTCTCATAAAATACAGGATACAAATGATGAAGATGCCAATGATCTATTGTGGGGAACAAATGGTGCAGGCAGTGATCACCAAATGTCACTAAAACCAGGAACTTGGAGTTGTTTACCTCTGTACGGTCCTTTACAGCATCTACCTGACAAATACCCCAGTCACAATCAGCTCTGAAACAAGGTAAAGATAGTAAGATTTGAGGCTTTCACGGCGGTGACTATGAAGAAAGCAGTCTTCTGGGATTTGGCACCGTGTATATGTGGTGTTAACCGACGTTTCGGAGGAACGTATCGCCTCCATATTCAGGGTAGAAGAAAAAATATATAAGAAATCTGCAAAGCAAAGAGTCACAGTCTGCTTTTACCGGTTCTCATGGTCTCTTCGCTTTGCAGATTTCTTATATACTTTTTCTTCTACCCTGAAGATGGAGGCGATACGTTCCTCTGAAACGTCGGTTAACACCACATATACACGGTGCCAAATCCCAGAAGACTGCTTTCTTCAAGGTAAAGACAGGTTTAGCAACAGTCTTCAGTCACGTGAGATTTCAGGTTGTTCTCATGGCAATAAGTATCAATATTATGGCCTTCTGAGATGTGATGCAGTGTTGTTTGATACCACAAAATCCCAAAAGACCACAATCTTTAACCTTCAATTAGCTAAACAGATGAAATTTCAAATACTTCAGAACACTCACAAACCTAGAGTTTCAGTTGCAGTAACGAACAGTGATGAAAGCATTAGCAAATGTCCAGTTCAAATTTTGCATTTCTAGGCATTAAATAGAAGAAAACACTAAATGAGTTTAGTGTATGAATACAGCTCACTCACTTCCATCTTTAGTGCAATTTAAAATTATGTAAGTTTTGAGGTTTTCACGGCGATGACTATGAAGAAAGTCGTCTTCTGGGATCTGGTGCCGTGTATTCTTCGTTTTAACCGACGTTTCGGAGGAACATATCGCCTCCATCTTCAGGGTAGTTGAGTTGCATGTGAATAGAGATAGCTGTAGCAGCAAACTCAACTACCCTGAAGATGGAGGCGATATGTTCCTCCGAAACGTCGGTTAAAACGAAGAATACACGGCGCCAGATCCAAGAAGACGACTTTCTTCAATTTAAAAATGTTTACAATCTCACTTTAATTTAAAATAACATTAAAATCACATCAACTGCCACGTGTTTCTGCCTTATTTGGCCATCTTTAGGCAACTGTTCACTTTTTGAAACCGTCACACCGTGCTAGGTTGCTATTGCATATCATTGTTCACATTAAAATGCGTTTGTTTCAGAACAAAACTTTCTCTGTTCCACGTTATTTCCCTTTTGCAGTGTCCATGTTTGTGCCCCTTTCATATGCAAGTTCTCACTAGTTGGGCCTATCTTCCTGCGTAGTATGACTACAAAAAATATTGCTAATAGTTCTACAACCAAAGTAACTCCATGTTTCAATATTGTGACATGTTGCGCAAAGCCGAGCCCCCCCCACACCAGCAGTGACGCGGTGGGTGAGTCAGCGCTCCCCTCCCACCCCTCAGCGGTAACGTAACGCTCGCGTAATAGGCGAGTAATCACCCCGCATCCTGGCAGCTATGCGCGGTGACGTCACGAGCGGAGCCGAAGAGAGCCGAGCGGAGCCGAAGATAGCCGAGCCCCGTAACCGGGTAACTATGCAAGGCGAATCAACAGCGGTGACGTAACAGGATGACGTGGCACTCATTACGCAACAAGCAAGAACTGCAGCTATATAAGTGAGCTGCACAGCTGGTACGAGTCCAGTTCTAATGTGGCTACCAGCGAGTTGTAAGGTAACAGTCGCCGAGTCAGTTGTACTGAGTCAGTCAGCGAGTCCAGGAGCTACCTACGAGTCCGTCCTCGAGCTACGCTAGTTCCGAGTTAGCCCGCAACTAGTCAGTTGTATTCCGGCAGTTGGAGTGTACTAATTGTGATACTGCAGATAGCAGTAATCGTAAATCTGTAATTTGGGTGATTGTAAGTGCGAATGTGAAATAAAATTCGCTACATCGAATACATCGAGAATTTATTTGTCGCGTCATACCCCCGATACGCGACAATATCTTTCCTTTGAACTTTGTAGTTACTCAGCTTGTCAAGAAATTACCATTCTTCTATAAACCAAGGTTTCACAAATGTGTGTTATTTAGTCCACATCCACAATCTCTAAGATCATGTTCATATTGTCCTCTAATCTGTGATTAGGTGTCCCTACATGTCTCTTCCTTTGAGGGTTTCGGTATACTTTGTAGGAATTTCTCATCTCCCACATGCATGCTATATGTCCCACTCCACTTAACCAGTTCTTCTTGATTTAATGGCCTACAAGAAAATGTTTTCTCATTGAGATTAAATCCAAATACCAACACTGCTATACAGTTTAACCTTACTGCCAAGCGAAGTGCTCCAGATTGGGCAACAAAAAATGCATTTATTTAATGATGCTTCTCAGCTGCATATGAATGACATAGAATGTTGAATGAAATGGTTGTGGCCTGATATAAGGTACTATTCTGGCATTCACCTTAAGGGATGAAGTAAAACCACAGAAAGCCTCAGTGTGTTAAGATAACCAGCCACTGGACTGCAAATCAAATCCATAACATCCTGAATTTGAACCAGAACTGCTGAACATTTTGTTGTGAAGTTTGATCTGCATATTAAACATTTGAAAACTGTAAAATGTCCAGAATATTTTAAATAAGCTGGGTCACTAAGTATCCATATAACTGTGTAATGACTGAAAGGACGATGTTTTAATAATTCATAATCCCATGTCTATTAACACCTACTACTGGAATTTAAATAGCCTGCTGCTGGGTATGGAGTGACCTTTCCTGTCTGCCTTATGACTTTTTTCAACTTGCCATTTTCTTCAAAGTCAAAGAAGGGAAAAAACATAGAGAAACCATGCACTCATAACAAACAGCTGCCACAAGCTATGATGCAGACAGGCTACCTCACTCAATGATAAACACAAATAAAATGCCAGGTGTATCTGAAAATTATTGCTGGTAAGATATACTATTATTCCCAAGTACGAACCATCATAACCTGTCACGAATTTCACAGAACATTCCCACACAATGTGCTAAGTTACACATGTTCAAAATATTTAAATCCAATTTACCATAGCCTGGAAGGTTCCTCAGTTCCTACAACACAATTTGACTAATGATATACCTGTATATTTACCTTGGGGCATCTCCATCATGGAAGTTCTCTGGGTGATGGTGTGCTGCATTGAAGCCATTCAAGGAGAAAAAGAAGCTTGCAATTAACACAATCCAGCACCACATGATGAAAGTATTAATAAATGTTGCACCACTGTATGCATACATCACAAACAGTGGGATAAATGGAATCAAGTCCTCTTTCCTCAGTGAAGGTTTTAATTTGCCTTGAACTGTCAAATACAACCTGAAACAACACCGCCATTTTGTTGGATAAGACCTAGTCAAGAATAAAGAATGCAGAAAATTACATCAATTAAGTAGGCTGTAATTATGTCAGTGCTTTATGTGATTAGTTTTCTTCATACAACTTGTATATTAGGCTATTATTCACCTGGAAACAATAGAAATGTAGAAGAAGATGAAGTACAAGGCAAAGCTGTAGAGCCATGATCCATAACGAACACACAGAGATTTTGTGCGATATGGCACCCACTGCAATAGTGGCTCAAAAAAGGTAAGTTCAAGGTCGAGCAATGAGTTTGTGTAGAGATGGTGGCTCAGTGCATGACTAATGCGCCACTCTCTGAAACACATCATAAAGGAAATTTACCCTTGTGCCTAAGTACCACCATGTCATGAAAATGTATGTGGGATATGGAAGTAAAGTTCCCTCCAGCACAAGACAAAGATTATAGGCCAGTTTCATTTTGATTAACCACTAAGGACAGAGTTTCTATTACCCACTGAACAGGTGGGTGTGTTGACCCAGGAGCTGGTCTGAATATGGTGACAAAATAAAAAACCTCACTCCACTCAGAAATCAAACCTCAACCATCTAGTCTACTTTACTGACCAAGCTAGCCTGGCTCACTAATAACACATTATATGGGTTCAGTTCTCTGCAATCCTAAGTCTCTTTTTAAAAAAATGTTTGACATTTCCCTCATGATCTCCAAAATTGCAGAAATATTCCTTATTTCATTATCGTCTATAACAAAATTAAGACTTCTTGGGGCATTGTTAAAGATGTCACCAATAACATACTTGTTAATAACTCAGTCCCAAGTATAAATATTGAGGGTAAACTATATAACAATGTACAGATAATAGCTGATACTATTAATAATTATTTTTCTGGCCCAGTACCCCAAACTCAACCTAGCTCATCCTCTAAGGTAGTGGATTCCTTAAACAATCTCTTCAAGGTATTTCAACATCCATTCCCTAACACAAATATGACTCCAGTAACCACCAGTGAAATTAAAGATATAATTAAGTCTTTAAAATTGAAAAGTTCACATGGATATGACGAGATTTCGCAAAATATTTTAAAAAGAAGCCTACCATTCATTCTGTCTCCATTAACTTATATATGTAATAAACTACTGAGCCTTGGTATTTTCCCAGACCGCTTGAAGTATCCTCAGTATTTTTCCAGACCACTTTAAGTATTCTCAAATTAAACCCATCTACAAAAAGGGTGACAGGTCTGATATGGTTAATTATAGACCCATATCTTTGATGACATCCTTTTCCAAGATTTTCAAGAAAAACATTTTCAACAGACTGCAATATCATATCGATGTAAATGAGATATGGGTGCAAGAACAATATGGTTTTCAAACCAAATCAACTACTGATATGGCTACCTTTACCTTAATAAATAATATCCTATTGGCACTTAGTAACAAATTAGCTGTCCGAGGATTATTTTGTGATTTAACCTAGGCATTTGACTGTGTCAATCATGGCATATTCCTTGCTAAATTGGAGTTCTATGGCATCAATAATATAGCAGGGAAGCTGGTTAAATCTTACTTGACTGATAGATATCAAAGAACTTTAATAAATAATAATTATAGAAAGGGCGTTTTTGAATGGCGAAAGGTTAAACAGGGTGTTCCATAAGGTTCGGTACTTGGGCCTTTGTTTTTTCTGTTGTATATCAATGATCTGCCTTATGTAGTAAATAAATCATCCATACCAATTTTGTATGCCGATGGTACTAGTATACTGTGTTCAAATTCTAATTCCACAGAACTCGAAACTGCCTTGAAAGCAATTCTGGTAAAAATAAATGAGTGGTTTTCACACAATTCGCTAACGCTAAATTTAAGTAAAACTAATTGTGTCTACTTTGCAACAAAATTGAATCTGTTAAAAAACTTAAATATAATATATAGTGATACTTTAATCCACAACACTTGTAATGTCAAATTTCTTGGGCTAATCATTGATAGTACTTTGTCCTGGAAAAATCATATTAATCAGTTAGTACTTAAGCTGAGTTCGGCTGTGTATGCCATTAGAAATTTATTTTCCAATGTGTCCCAGAAGAGTCTACTGATGACCTATTATGCCTATGAACATTCCATTATGTTCTATGGCATTATATTTTGGGGCAATTCTGCCAACAGTAATTTAATATTTAAAATTAAAAAAAGAAGTTAGAATCATTATGAAAGCTAGAAAAATTGACTCTTGTCATCCATTGTTTAGGTATCTAAATATTCTTCCATTTTACTCATAATATATATTTTCAATATCCATGTTTGTTGTTAAAAATATGGATATTTTCACACTAAATTCTGATATACATAGTATCCATACCAGACAAAGTTTGGATTTACATAATTGAACTTATAAATTAACTAAAGTCCAAAAAGGTGTCTACTCTTCCAGGATTATGATATTTAATAATTTACTACAGAATCTTAAAAAAACATGACAAATGATTTTAATAAGTTTAAACATGCCTTAAAAAGTCTCCATATTGGCTCCTTTTACTCATCGCGGGAATATCTAGATTGGAGAATGGAAAACCTTGCTTGTTACAAATAATTTATAATCTGATTGCTGATCTGATACGGTTTTTTGCTTGGTTGATGTAATCTTTTGTCTTGATTTTTATGCAGCTTTTCGTTCTGATAAGCATGATTTATATGTATTGTTTACCTGTAGAATTGACTGTATATGTTTTTTTCTGATAGTATTGCGATATGACGAGTATCAATGTATTTTGATTGATGGGAAAATGAAATAAAGAAAGAAAGAAAGATAACTGGTCATAAGTGTGTAAATTTATAATGCATTTAATTCAGTTTATTTAGGTAATTTGAATGAAATTGTATTAATTTTATGTTTTATAGTAATGTTCTTTTTAAATTATGTTTATTAATTAAAATTGTATTAAGTTTATTTTTTTATCTATGCTAATTGACTAATGTATGTGATTTTAATTATGTAACTCATGTAATTTATTATATGTATCTGGACACATCTATTATCAAAGGGACTATTTCCACATCCTAGGTTTTTTACCTGTATAGATATATGGAAAATAGAGGAAATGACTGAAAAAATGAATGAATGAATCAGGTGTTGAAATGGGAGTAGGCGCCGGTAGATGCCATCTAGTTAGGAACAAATTTATGAGCACACATTCTAATAATTTTCTTTTAATTTGTGTTACTCATTCCTTTGAGTTTCTCTGATGATTTCAAGCACCTACCTAGTTCTGAATAGGAGTGTCTACCTAGCTCTAGACTTCAATGTTCATGTAGCTCTGAACTAGGTCATCTATGTCACTCTGAAGTTGAGTGTCTACCCAGTTTTGAAATGGAATGTTTACCTACTTCTCAACTGGAGTTTCTATCTACATCTGAAAAGTAATTTCAACCCTTGAATATCAAGTGTTGTTTTTTGGTTCTCAGAAATCAGTGCAAGTAACAGAGGAAGCATTATTTTATACTCTGATATGGGACACTTAAAATATTTGACAGAAATCCCATGCATGTGACAAATTTTACTCATCCCTTCATGATACAACTTCTCTGGACCAAATGTAGTTCTCACAAAAATTATAAAATTAGTTAACGCCTTCAATTTTAGGTCTCTCTGACCTTGGAGGAGGAGGCAGCATGATCCTCTGATGCACTGGTATCTCTTTATCATAGAAAATAACATCACATCCCAGAAGACCATAATCGTAAATACCCAACATCATGGGAACTTCAAATCTCATATAGATGAATTAGTTCCCTGAACACAAAGTATACATATGACATGTAAATTAAACCTTACACTGAGCACCCTTGACTGTGGTTGTGGTTACATTAATGACAGAAAAAAGTGAAAGGAGTTATAGTACTTAGCTACCTAACCTCTTCCCTTGCAAGACATACCAAGCCCCCACATATGGTCACAAATACTAGATAATAACGTACAGAAATAGTTGTTTCTCACCTTGATGTCAAAAAAGAGAGGTCAAAATAATACATGCGAAAGTTATCTTTCATATGGAAGAAATTGTGGGCACTGACAACTAGAAAATTAAGGATAAATCCTGCCAGCACTCCAAGTTTGAAATTATAGGTGGCATTAGCAACAGTTGAAAGTAACAGGAATGCAGCCAGCAGGAGATCTGAGCAGAGCTTAGATTGTGCTGAAGGTCCAGGAGGAAGTTGTGCCAATATGGGCTGTGCCTTGCGTTTCAATGTGTGGTAGAAGCCATCATCCATGAATGTATAAGGAGAGTTACGTGGCTCTGTTGCAGGACGAACAAAAAACTGCTTGAGCAAATATTCTGCAGTTTTTGTTACATGGTGAACTTCAAAAGCCTCTGTGATGTCTGAACCCTATAGAAGAAACATGTACATTAAAATTACACACAGATTATTTGAATTAACTCTGTGGAACAGAATTCTCCTTGAGAAGCTTATATTTGCACATCTTGTCAAGAAATTCTTCATCTCTTATAGAACCCAAAGGTTCATTACAGTGTTCACAAGAGCCTGCTCAATTGTTTTGCATATGAGAAATATTAGATTGTGACAATGGATTTCAAGGAACCTATAGATGCAGAGATGAATAGCAGAATACAAACAAGTTCTAAACTTTATCAAATTAGAAACAAAATATTATGGAACCAAGAGATCATAAAACAATGTTAAACAATTGCTAGTGTATATTTCAAACCAGTGCCATCATATAAACCTCCAACATGAACCCTTACAAAGAGAAACAAAAGGACAAACAAAGAAATAAATATTGTCATGTGTTTAGGGTGCGCATGACTTATAAGACAGGTTCTGAATTGGATAAATAGATTTATTGCACCTTTACATTCACAACTTGGGACTACAGGCAATTACAGCACTGTCGCTGATTTACATTCTTTACAGTTCAATGTTGCACATGCTATAAGATCCTCAGTCACTAATCGTATTCTGGCAACAGATTTATAACCATCTCACTGTCACTTCAAATCACATGTGGAGTCTTCTTTTCACAACTTAATTCCTTCCTTGCCCTTGCTCTGCAGCTGCCAATTCCAAAGACTTCATTCAATTCTCTGCTCCCAAGCTCATATTCCAGCAGGCTGGCATCCCGAAACTTGACTCATCACTTCACGCTGTTCAATGGAATTCTTCTTTATAACCACTCTGAACGGACGCCACAGAAAACAGTCTCTATTGTTAAGGAAGTGTGTTTACTGATCCGTTGCCTAGCAATAGATATCCTATTGTTGCGTGAGTTTGCTTGCATAGGAATGTGTTTAATGAGTCGTTGCTTAGCAATGGGTATACATATCACAATATGAATGTTTGATAAGTACTGAGGGGAAAAGAAGGGATAGAATTAAAAACAAAATTTTTAATAAGGTTGAATTACAAATTTGTTAATAGATTTAGAAGAAACCCCATTTTAACTATTATGGGAAAATTAATAATATACTATAGAACAGTGATACCAAAAATAGCAACTGAATTAAAATTTAAAAGAAACGAACCCACTGGAAGGCCTATTACCCGATGGTTTAGCCAGATACTGGAAGATATCAGGAAGATACAAATATTCACCTCAGCAATTTGTTCCCTTCATTAAATATTCACTATATTAAAAAAATTTTAAAATAAGATTTCTAGAGCTAAAAGGAATCTATAGTTTATGTACGATTTTTTTGCTGTTAGAAAAATGCTGAGAAAAATAATCTCTTAGATCCTTCTGTGCAATGCAGAATTCTGTTGGATATAACTTTGTGATTGACAACCAATCAGATCCTCCTGGATGCTTGTATACCCACTCAGTGAAGTCATAAAATCCATCATGAACTCGCCAGAGACCATCTGTATTATCATCAATCTTCTTGCACTCCATCCAAATTTCTGCATATTTGACTGGTTGTTTCTTGTAAGTAGGATACTTCCAGAGACCAGGCAAAGATGACTGCAAAATATCATCTGCTTGTGGTGCCATACTCAGACACTGCAAGAGAAATGTTCAGTTCTACAAATGTATGAAGATATTAGCACGATTATATCATATTTTTTAGAATTATCAAAGTGTGACAATAACATCAGTTTGAAGAATGAGAACACCCACCAGCAGAAAATTTCTGTGCAACTTTCCTTCTGTTCAGTATCCACAGTTGGGAATACTTCACGTGATTCAGGACTGTCGTAGTTTTTGCCATGACTGAAAGACAACTTTAAAACTATGGTATTCATGGAGAATGATTCTGATAAAATGTATAAAATTACACTCAATTTTAAATGTATAAGGTGTGCTAAAAATATAGTTGGAAACTTGCTACTGGGCTAGACTCATTTGGAACAGTCAGAATTTCTAGATAGGTATAAATATATTAACAAGTTAATGGTTCAGTAAAATAAAGGTAGGCCAAGACAATAAACTGAAGTTCTTTAACACTTGATTGCAAATACTCCCAACTCAAATATCTCGTTGGATGTAGACTATGAATATGAACATGAAATGAATCAAGTAAATGTGTGCAGGTGGGTCAGCTGTAAATATCACAAAACCTAATGTAACCTTAAAAAGAAGAACTGCTGCTGCTGCTGCTGCTACTACCATTACTACAAGCAAATTGTGAAATTTAAAGAATTCACTGTATAAAAATAGACAAAACTGAGTATATATTTTCTTTATACACTCATAATATCAAAAATTAAATCCTGGCAAAAACAGAATATTTGTTCATGGAACGAATTTTCACACTATTGTGACATATTCTTGTCCTATCAGCAGTTTAGTGTGTCAGTTAATGTGCAGACTATTGAAATACAGACCTGTTCATTGGTACTAAGCAGACTGTTTATTATTTGCCTTCTTGAAGATGGTTTGCTTACACAGCACTCCAACAGATTACATTATCCTGGTTCACATCAAACATAAGTAATTTCATATGTCAGAGATATCACAGTGTTAAAAAAATGTGACCTAACACTTAAACTGGGCAAATAAATAGACTCCCTCTCTGAACCATAACTATGAAGGTCACTGATATCAAGCCCTACAACTGAACCTTGGTCCTACTTAATGGAATTCAAAATCTCAAACAGCACCTCAGTTCAATTTTATTTAGTGAGCTTGGGGTTTAAGACTTTCTCAATTTTATGGTCTTCTACTGATGGACCTCTACATATTTTTTTTTTCTGCTAGTGGGGTGGGACTAAGTACCTTGTACTGCGGCCACTTCTGGCCTATTGTACCAGCCCCAGATGATAGGTGAGGGTGATTGTGGAGCAATTGGTGGAATGAAGATTGGCAGGGGAAACCGAAGTACCTGGAGAAAACCTGCCCCAGTGCCACTTTGTCGACCACAAATGTCACTTGACCAGACCCGGGATCGAACCCAGGCCGCCGCAGTGGAAAGGTAATGACTAACTGCTTGAGCTATGGAGCGGCCCTGGACCTCTACATAAAGGAAACATTCAATACATAAATTGATATCCTTTGTTCTGCTATTGAAGTAATGCCTGATCTTATTACAAGTGCTTACTTATTGAGAATTTATGCACACTGTGGTCGTTGAACAGTGATGCTCACTAAGATTATCACTTGCAGCTGGGGTCTTGGCCATTTGGTTCAGAGTTCAATATTATATTAGCTTCACATTTCAGCCATCAGATAACCCACTACAGTTACTGACAATTATGAGCAATACAGACCACATCCACATCATTCCATTATCTAAATGCATGATCAGCATTTTATCTCGACGGTTACTGACTTTATTTCATGGTGTATTATGCATCTGAAACATTTTCAGCCTCGGGAACACTTATTTAAATATGGTTTGAAATATGACCTCACAGCCATCTGTGAGTCAATTGTCTAGGAAATGTGAGGGCCTCGACGTCTCACAACCCTAAAGGCCTTCATTTCTTGTTACAAGGATAATTTTTCCTTTATCTTTTACCTTCAAAATATGAGATTTGAAGTTCTGGTTGCAAGGAATATTAATATTATAGTCTTCCCATCAGACCATAATCTCACTCCTTCAAAATGTATCTACATCTTAATGTCAACCCATAATCAATATTATCTAGCTTGAAGAAAATTAATATATTTCATCAATGATTTGCAATAACAAATATCAGAATCTGTTCATGTAGAACAGTGTTTCTAAAATCACATGGCTAAATAATTGGAAACTGTTAGACTTTCTGTTGTGAAAACAGCTTGAAATTACAGACCATTCATGGGGATAAATCTTCAATACTGTATAAATCAGTCATATTATGAGTGATGCAAGAAGTAGCATCTTCCTTGGTGTACAGATACAAAATTTGGAAATTTTTTTGCATATTTTATAAAGTAAAATGAGTTCACATTTAACCAATTTAAAGCTCTGATTTATTTCTATAATTGTCTTAGATAGTTAAAAACTTTTAAACATAGGACTTTGTTCATTTTCCTTCTGATTCTTTTTTATAATTAAGTGTTTAGCTTTTTTATATAATAAAATGTCTCATGGACTAATTCCATTCACATTGTTTAGACAAGGTATCTTGTGAATGTAAGAACTCAATGTAATATAATGTAATTCGGAAGTGAATCACATTACATACATAAAGTGTTAACAGTATTCCTATCCCCTGTTATTAAGTCCAATAATTACAGTCAAATGGATAGCACTACTACTTCATATTTAGGAGATCCTGTGATTAGACCTCAACCCGTTGCCATCTATCATGACAGAGATTGTTTGCGATTTTCCTCAGTTCCTCCAAACAAATTATGGGAGAACATGCCAAATTAATCCATGAACTCTTGGTTGGTTGTTTGGTTGGTTTCCATTGGCTGCATTTGGGATCATTTAACCCATTTTGCTTCTTGCTTCCCAATAGAGAGCACTCAAGTTCTTGCTTTGTTGCATCTTGAAAGAGTTTGCACTTTTCTTTTGGGAAGCTTTGCCAGATTTGTTGCTCATTTTGCACTACCCAGGGGACACACATGACTTAAAGAATGTCATGGATGCGAGCAACTTTGTCCCCCATCCATGAACTGTTTCCTCCCACGGTCTTTCAAATTAACTGACTAATCATCCTTGCATACATACATCAGCATGTCAGAGTATTCAACTGGCAGAGTGTGCAACTGGCACTGAATATAAAACTTGTCAAACAAAAGTCACAAGACAATCACAGATAAAATCGCAGAGACATCAATTCAACCATAGCTATATAAAAAATGGATTAACGATATCTGTAATGCATGTTGGGACTATGAACTTGTCAGCAGTAAACAACACAATCAGCTTTGGCTTACATTTATCTAAGATTTAATGTACTGGTCTTTCAGTAAGTTAACAGACTTATACCATCCATTTGAGGAGCTGGAAATCTTGTGTTTCTGTTAAGGAATTCAGTATATTGGTAAGTACTGTCGATTATCTTACTTTTACAGAACTCATTTTTACTGTGTATAGGGGCGAACAAGGTAGCGTAGTTGGTTGAGGGGCTATGCTACAAGCTGGAAGGTTGCAGGTACAAGACCCAATGAGGTCACTGGATTTCTTTCAATTGACCTAATCCTTTCAGCTGCACTATGTCCCTGGGGTCGACTCAGCCTCTGACAGAAATGAGTACCAGGAATTAAGTAATTTTCCTGGTGAGTAAAGCATGGCCAGCGCATAACGCTGACAACCTTACCGCCATCTTTGAGCCGATTGTCTAGATAATGTGGAACCCTCAATGTCTCATGGCCTGGTACAGGGATAGCTTTACTTTTTTTTTACTTTTCTTGTTTAACACTCATTATCTCCTTACTCAAGTTCTGAGATTGTACTTGTAATGCTATACTTCCATTCCTCCATTGTCTTTATTATAACATGCTTAATTAAGAACAGGGAAAACTTTACCTCTATGTAATCTTCTCCTTTTCTTTCACAGTGCTATATATATATAAACAACATTTTATAATGGGCTATAAGAGTATATTATTTTCTAATGAGATTCATTTCTGAATCATGTTTAATATTTCCCTGGTTAGCCATACTTTCACTAATATTGTATTATTGTAGTCTCTGCATTTTAGTCTCATTTTCAATAATGTTACTACTATTGTTACTACTGTCATGCTACTACTACTGCTAATAATGACAATAGAACAATAACAATAATACAGATAATAATACTAAACAATAAACTGAGTGCCAATTATAAAATTAGAGCACAGGAATGTTCATGACATCAGTACTTAGGAGTTTAGGGATTTCAGTTGCAAATCAGCAGAAATGAAAAAAATATTGCATAAGCACAAAATTGTTTATGATATACTATCAGAAAGTTCCCGGACTGTTATTATTGTAACTGCCTTCGTGAAAGAAGATGAGAGGGGAGGCCAAGGTCACACAAAGTCAGCATTAAGGAAAATGACTTCCATGGTGGTTTTAAAGCATGGAAAAAACAATGCGATTACTGTATACTGTCCCAAGGAGACTATTCTGAAGGAGATGGCAGCCAAAATTGAGTAAGTTAAGCCAGCATTTCTTTTTTGACCTAGTCCAGGAACTTTCCGATACATCTCATAGAGAATGTGCCATGTTAAAGCAGAATTAGATAAACGGTATGTGAGTAGGAATGACAGAGGAAGGGCTGAAATGAAAAGAAAGAGCTTGGTAGGCAGAAATAAAATCTCATAAACAACCTTGCATATATGTCATAAGAAATAGTGATAGCATTCAGATCAAAATAAAAATAAATAAGATTTTAATTTGGGGGGGGGACAATGGAAGGAAGACTGCAGACAAAGGACACATTTTCAAAAAATACTGTTAGCTTTACCTACACTATGGATAAGCTCATTTACAAACAATTGCCATTTGGTATTGATGAATTCTGTGTCTGAAATAATTGATCAAAGAAATGTTTCCCATAACCTCTGAACAGATAAGTAAATTATTCATGCCCTTTCAATATGAATTACATGCATTGCGGAAATACACTAACAATTGTATCAGTGGTATAATGGTGTGGAATGGATTCGTCTAGCTCTGGATAGTCATGTGGTATGTTCTTATGAACAGAGTACTGAACCTTCAGGTCCTATAAAAATTAGGTAATTTATTGACTTCCTGAACTAGTTGTTCAGAATTAACTATAGAACTAGTATTAGCTACTCAGGAATGATTCTGCTTAAATAAGTTATCTTGAGCCTTAATCAATTCTCTTTTGAGGTGCATACATGAAATACCATAGTGCAATATGTACTAAGTCATATTCTAATGTCTGTAAGCATTCAGAAATAAAACCAAAAAATAATCAAGTTATGAGAGATGTGGTATAAAAAATTATACTTAACAGCTAACTGTAGTGGTAACCTTGTAGACTTGAATTTATGTAGTTCAAATCTTTATTAAATGGACAGTCTTAAAATACAAATTGTATACCCTTGACCAGGAATTACTTTGTATGGTACTTGGATCCTAAACTCTACAATTTTATCAAATTTAAACACAGACCAGAACATTGCAGTATTTATTTTTCATGAAATCAAACTTCTAAGCAGGGGAACCTGTACTGTAAGTCATGGATATCTCTGCCTACAGTATTAACTTTGTCACAAAAAAATAATATTAACAACAAAAGAAAATGCAAAAAATAAATAAATAAATAAAAATGTAATATAATTTAATTAATATGTATATTTATTTTCTTCGAGACTCTGTTGCTTCCTAAAACCCACTTTTCACTGCTTACTTGGGTCTGATAGTGACACAAAGTTATTTGCGTACCCACTCATCAGTCTGCAGAACCTATAGATATAAGTGTTATTGTTACAGAAATGTGACCATGAGCTCAAGAGAAATAAGTCTATCAGGTTCATCACTGCCAGGTCTCTGGAGATCACCTACTTACCGTAAGGACAATATTCGAACGACACATCTCTGGTTGAAAGGTAAAAAAATAGATGACAACACAAATGGATTGTGGAGAGTGCATGATGGCTTGTATGATTTCTCCACTTTTATTGACAAACATCCAGGGGGCTCGGATTGGCTCAATTACACAAAGGTAAGAACAGAACTGCACCTAAAAATGTTACACCTCTGGACTGAAACTGAATCAAAGATAATTTCTCAGATAAAATGAACAAACATAAGATTTTAAATTAATACATTTTATATCTTCAACAAATACCTCATTTAACATGATCACTGCAGTCACTATATGTTTCAACTCCTTCATACTTACATAAGACATACTTAATATTTCTGTGCATTTGAGTGACATCTGCAGGGAAAAATGATAATTATTTACACAACGGCAACAGTCTGTCATATAATAAGCACCATAAGCCTATGGTAAACTTAAGTCTGTCAGGAGATGGGAGAGACAGTGAAAATGTTAATATCACATTGTTACCAAAAGTAATATTAACATTACCACAGACTTTGTTTACTTTTTATTACATTTAATTAAATATTGAAGCTTGAATTGTAGACGGGTATAAGGAAAGAAATTTTTAATAGAAGCTGGTCTCAAATAGCAGCTCACTTCTAGCATATAACTAGTCAATAAAGTGATGATGATGATTTCAGTTTCTTTGCTTAAGTGTAGCAATTATTAGAACTGACATTTTCTTCCACCAGGGCACAGATATAACTGAAGCATTTGAATCACATCATGTTAAGTCTTCAGTCAGAAGTTATCTGAAACAGTATTATGTGCAACCTGCCACTGGTGCACGGTTCTCGCCATACACATTCCATGAGGATGGCTTCTATCGTACACTCATGAGAAGGGCTGAGCCAATCATAGCAACCATTCATACAGGCCCAACACTGAGATCAAAAATATGGATAGATATACTGATGGTTACCACAATGGCCACCGCTATCCTCGCAACTGCCACCTCCAGCTATGCACTTGGATTTCTTGCTGGATTTCTTATGAATCTAACAGTTGTAGGAGCTCATAACTTCCTCCACTTGAGAGATAATATGCGCATGTACTACTTTGACTTTTCTTTCATGAGCTGCAAGTAAGTACAAAGTATATATGATAACACATCAGCAGCAATTTCTTTGTGGTTTTTTCTTGATTTGAATTTATGCTCTTGCTTTGTAACTGGCAGACTGTTACTGACAACTGGATGCTTTGAATCGGGTGGGGAAAGGTAAAATCAAAATTTTCATGAGCTCTTTTCAATTTTTCAATTTCATGAATTTTTCTGTTTTTGTTTGGGTTTCATTTTGTTGAATGGGATATCGTAACATTAATTTCAAGATGTGCTGTATTTCTTCAGCTTTGATATTCGGTGATTGCAAACCTATTGTTGCAAAGTTCATCATACTACAGATATTACATCATCATTATCATCATCCTTTGCAGCATTACACTTACTGAGATGTGATTCAGACGCCTCACCAAATGATCCTGCTTGAACCATATTGATGATTTTCAGTCTGGCCTTGTCCATATAATACCCTGAAAACAATAAGAAGTTCCATCAGTTAGTTTCTACCCAAAGAGTGACAGTTCAGGGCAGGGACACATTTAAGGGAAAGCAACTGGGGCAGTTACCCCAGGGCCTCCAGAAAATAGAAACAGAATCCACAGATATTACTGAGACATGTGCTTCTCTAAAATTATGAAGCGTTACTTTGTATTTTTAATTGTTATAAAAAATAAGAACAAAATATAGTATTCACTGATATGTTGGGATTTTGGACTTTATCCATCGTCCTGGTTTTTAAGATAACAAATAAAAACACGACGTTTCGGAAACTGGATCTGTTTCCGTCCTCAGGTGAAGGAGAACACCTATTCAGTTGGGTCCGTTAGAAAGAGCTAGCCTCAGTCACTCAATCACNTCAGTGTGTTATACACCATCGTCAGAATCCTATAGTAACTAAAATATAGTATTGCCATAACTTAAATTTATTGTTACTAAATCGGACCTCAACACTTGATTGCCCCAGGGCCCCAAGAACTGTGAATTCAGACCTAATGCAATGGTAGGGTTGCTACTTTTAAGTCCTAGACAATCTCTGTGTACCAACATTTCCTACTACAATGATGTAACTGTTATCCCACTGTGAGTCGAGTGTCAGAGCTGCCGGAAGGCAAGGCTGGCAGCTCAGAAGCAGTTGCTAGAGGAGATGCATCCTGCCCCTGCTACCCCATATTACAATATGCGTCACAGTAATGTTAAATACTCACAAAAATCGAAGACATGTCCAATAGAAGCTATAGAACTGACAGATATCTGTATTTTATATTAAGCTCTTATCAGCCTTACTGAAGAGCTGCAGTTCATTATGTTCATGTTTTTGTGTTTCAGAGACTGGCGTGTATCTCATGCTCTCAGCCACCATATGTATCCCAACACCCTCTTGGACATAGAACTTTGTTTCAATGAGCAGATATTCCAATGGCTACCCCTGAAGGACAAACCATGGGGGTTACGATATGGCTCCTGGTTCTACAGTCCAATCATCTATGCTCTTCTCTTTTTTCTTTCTTTCCTTCAGAGGTAGGATCTGCTGATTCTGCAAGAGTTTTAATCTTTCACTTTAAAATGTCTTGATTTGATGCATACTCTTCTGTGTTGATTTAGTAATTTAGATATCATTTCCAACTTGCAAACTTGATCAGGCTACAATTTGAGCTCAGGCTGTTATGGTTTATCCCAGTGGTTCTCAACCTTTGTCACACCGCGATCTGGTAAATTCTCTTTCTATAAGACAAGAGCCTGGTACTGGACCGAGGCCCAGCGGTTAGGAAACACTGGTTTAAGCTTTGCAATTTAATCTAATATTCAGAACATTATAATATCATACATAAATTTGAAAATATTTACTACTTCAAAACCAAACACATACTTCTACTAACCTATTCAAACATTTAGAATGTAAATATTCCCGTCATCTTCGATGTGTACCATGTAGCCTGACAGATGTTTACAGTAGTTCTGCTGAAGTGACAGCAAATGTCTGTCAGACTACAAGGCATTATATTCCAAATGACGGTATTCTTCAGTCACTACTGTGACTACTCAAATCTCACATGTACTTAAGACAGTAATTTTTGTCATATATTGGTATCACCAGAATCATGAAATGAATAGTCATGGGTATCACAATCACTAGTACTACTACGTTCAGAATTACAATTTCTGAGCCATTACTTGGGGAGAATATGAGGTACAGCAATTACCTACAAATTTCCATATTAGTATTCAGATAAAATTCTTACTCGTCATGCGAGTTAATCCTTTGGTTTTACATTCAACATTCACATTTCACAATAGAATATGAGAATATATCCATTTACGCATAAAAATACATCCTATGAACCTCTCTTCAAGATTAATATTTCATAAGAAGGTTTTAGTGCAGACTTCCTGTACACAGTTTAGACAAAAGGCATATAGTAGTTTGGACACATGAAGTATTGAAGAACTGCTCCAGCATAATTTTATTTGTTTCAAGAACCAAAAGTATATGGCCTTAATTACTGACAGCATCATTTTATACACTACAAAATAAATCTAACAGGAATCACCCTTGTATATACGTGTATTGTTCTGCATATAATTTTCCTGCTACTTTTGTATCACGATTTGTACACAGTAACCTCATCATTCAGAATTACTGGATTTTTTTACTTTTCCCATCGTCTGGTATTCTAGAAACTAGAGAGCATGACGTTTCGGAAACTGGATCTGTTTCTGTCCTCAGGTGAGGGGGGGAGAGATATCTACTCATTTGGGTCCCTCAGAAAGAGCTAATCTCAATCACTGATCCAGTAATTCTGAGTTATACACCAGCAACAAAACCCTTTAGAATAACCTGATCATACTCACCATTCCCGTTACACCTAAGGTAACCTTTCATTCTTCTGCCCTGAGATTGTCAATTGTTATATTTGGTTATACCAACATATAGAAATAGAGTGAAAAATGTCTGTCTTAAACGTTCTTCAAGTCTCGTACAATTCCCAGTTAAAGTGTGATTATTACTGTATCATGTAGTTTGTTTTTATCTGTTACAGAGTGGCAAGTATCTTATGTGGAAACAGAAAAGCTCTAAGGCTGGATATTACAATTCCTTTCATTCCCCTGCTGCTGATGTATGCTTTGAGTGGAAAAACTTTTTGGGATGCATTCTGTATGTGGATTTGGATTGTTGGGGTCAACAGTTTTATTTTTGGTTTCCTTGGTTTCAATGGTGCACACCACCATCCAGACATATTCCATGATGGAGATGCTCCAAGGTAATCCCTTATTTTTGGATTTGGTTAACTATAGGATGATCAAAGTATTCTCACTTAGATATTTTCTTTCAAATAAATCTGACCTCTGTATAGGTTATTTTTATCAGAAGCTATAAGTATGTTAGCTAATTACATTTGTTTTGAAAAACTAAATTTTTTCTCTTTCAAATGAAATGACAATGTTTTAGAGTCATACAAGATACATAACAGAATTGTTTTATACATGTATGCATGCACACACACAGTTCAGTCACGCTGGCTGACTTTTTCGTGGTTTTTCTCAGCCCTCCCAGGCAAATGCTGGGGTGGTACCAGTGATAAGACCACATCCACTTAATTTCAAATCCCTTTCACTTATTCCTCATTTATCATTCTACCATTTGATCCTGTAGTCTATGATACTGCCAACATCATTAAGTAAACCATGAATAAATAATAAAAATAAAATACAATTCCATATGTGTGGTGTCATTCTTTAGTGTTTTGGAAAACGAGATGCAATGATAAACAGTTTTTGAACCAAATAATAGTACAATTTCCTGAATTTAGTATTTGCCTTAGTTCATCTCAAATTTATTTGATATTGTTGTTCTAGATATCTGATTTCTGAAATATATCAAGTAATTTATTGCCCATAGTTATAATGTAATGAAGCACTTCTAATTTTTCTTATAATTTTAAAAAGACTCTATTCCTTCATTTATATTGTATTACAAACTCTGAGCCCCTTTTTGACAGTACTTGAAAGCCACAGTGATACAAATATCTAAACGCAACAACAGCTGCTATCTCAGCCTTCTTGCAGGCATCAACTTACCAGTGCTGTTCCTATTTTCATCCAACAGGGCTGACCGTGACTTTGGTCTGGGGCAGATAGATGCTGTACGAGACCATGTTGAATTTGCTCACAATCTGTTCATAGTGCTCGTGACATTTGGTGAGCACAGCCTTCATCATCTGTTCCCAACAGTAGATCATACCAATCTACACCATTTATATCCAGTGTTTCAGGAAACCTGCAAAGAGTTTGAAGTCAAGTATAAACCTCTAAGGTTAAGCCAGTTATTTAAGGGACAGTATCAAAGGCTTGCTAAAAATGAACCTAATCTAATCCCTCCAGAAAAGATAATAAACTGAAAATGTTATGATAAAATGTTAACATTTGCACATCCCTATTGTTATTACTCTTTCTGCTTTACAAGCTATTTCTGGGCTTCATTCGAGATGCCTACAGGAAATTCCTACCAGTGGGTTCCATAGAATAATTTTCTTGCCATAAAACAATATATTATCAAGAAACTACAGTGATCTGTGGTTAGTTGTGGCAAGTGACATTCAAGATTTTGTGCAGTTTCTTTCCTACAAATGTTGACTCATTATATTCAGGTTTTCTACCTGCCATACCCAAGATTTTGTCCTACAGATTCTAGGAATTTTATGGAAATGACTGTTCAGATTGTGGTCTTCTGGGTTATGACACTATGCAGTCTTGCAGCTGAACCAGTTGTCTTCATGCTCAGTGTTGAAGTGTGCTGGTTCAGAATATGCAGGTAGCAAGGAAGGTGGTCACTCAGATCCATAAGAGGGGAAGCAGAAATAGAACTCAGTCCAGGTCAATGGAGTAGCGAAAAGGAAAGCAGTTCTTCTCAGGACTACAATATTTCTATTACAACAAGGAAATTCGCTTCATATGCAACACTACATACTCAGTACCATAACCTATAAGAACATAATGTGAACAATCTTGACCTGTTCATGGTCAGTTCATAAACTTCTTGAACAAAGTTTGTGCATTTGTACAGCAAAATATGAGGCCCAATGCAGTTATATGTCATTCCACTCATGATATTTTTTTCATTAAATCTAATATTTGGAGTTGTGACTAAATTACATTAAAGAATTAAAGAATTAAAACCATATTGTTCGTGTACTAACAGATTATTTGCTTCAATATGAGTAATAAATCTCACATATATGAGTTTTTCAATTATCTTAGAAAAAGAAGTCAACAATGAGATAGGTCTATAGTTGGATATATTATGATATATGATATATATATGATATATTTCATTTTTTAAATAGTGGTTTAACTATGGTAAATTTTAATCCATCAGGAAAAATAACAGTATTAAGTATTGCATTACAGACATGAGTAAGTGAAGAAAATATAAATGGTGAACTTAATTTTATTCTGTTTGAAATTTCATCATATCCACTTGAGTTTTTAGTCTTTAATGATTTCATAATTTTTTCAATTTCAAAGTGGAGGCATACTGCCAATTCATTTTAGTAAAAGGTGTACTAAACATATTCACTATGTAACTGATTGGATTGGATTGGATGAATTGGAGCTTATATATTTATTATTATCTGATATAATAGAATCAGCTATAGACAGAAAGTGTTCATTAAAAGCATTTGCAATTTTGTTCTGATTCATTATTACTTTATTATCTACCATTATGGAATGAATACCTTTATCCCTTTTATTTTCCCTTTATCCTCATTTATTATTTTCCAAGTACTTTTATTTTATTATTAGAATTAAGAATAATTCTATTGTAATATGGTTTTTTGCAGCTATAATTACTTTTGATAATATTTTACAGTATTGTTTATAATATATTTGACGATTTAAGTCATCACTATGTCTGCATAATGACAAGAGTTCTCTCTTTCTTTTACAAGAGGTCATTATCCCTTTTGTAGTCCATTTATTATTAATAATATTATATCCGATTTCCTTTTTTGGGAAACAGGCGTAAAAACATTTTAAATAAGTATTATGAAAGTTGTTAAACATATTATTAGCATTATTATTCTCAAAAATATTGTCCCACTGTTCCCAATTTAACAACATTTGAAATTCAAATATATGTATTATTTTTATTATGTTTCTAGCAAGAATAGATCCAAATATACGAGTATTATTAAGTACAGTAATATTCTTAAAAGTTATTAGCTGTGCATCATGATCAGACAGTCCATTAATACATGGTTTAATGGTATAACTTCTTCTGTTATCAATAAATAAATATACTATCTATCAAAGTGGCTGAATTATCGGCAGTTCTTGTAAGGAAATGTACAGTATCCCTTAAATTATAAGAATTTAACATGTCGTCTAACTTTGATTTCCTATTACTATTTTCTAGATAATTAATATTGTCACACATAATATTAATATTATGTCACACATAATATAAAGTCTGAGTTATACCTATAAAGAAAATTAAGTATACAGTCCAGTTTGTTTAAAAAAATAGTCATAATCGCCGGCTGGGGCTCTGTATATACAGAGAATAATTAAGTTTCAATTGAATGGCCGCAATTTCCATGTCTTGTTTCTTACAATATTTTGTAGATTTATAGTAGTAAACTTCAGATCATCTTGAATAAACATACACACATCACCATTTTTTAAATTCTTCCTACAATATCTTGCACCTAATTTATATTTAGGAATATGTGAAGCATCCATTTCATAGCCCATTAGATGATGTTCTGTCAGACAAATTGCACTGGATTCTTCATTTAATAAAGATATGACTGACTCATTAATTTTACGTTTTATTCCCCTAATATTTTGTTGAAATATCTTAACTAGGTTACATATATACTGTCTTCTTGATACTTTAACGATACATAACCTAATATTACACCCCCCCCCTTCACAGTTACGATTCGAGACGGATCAGCGAGAAGACACTTCCTAGGAGAAGCGCGAATTAAGAATTTTGCCCCAATGTGGTCTTGACTTGGTTAAGGAAGTTTACTGAATTTGGACAACAATTAATGTGTGGAGATACAGTGCTTACCGAATAAGATGAGGATCTCACATATATACCTATATTCCATCTTGCTGGGGGCACGCGGTAGCGTGGTTGGTTGAGACACTATGCTACAAGCCTTAAGGTCGCGGAATCGAATCCCGATGAGGTCACTGGATTTTTTTCAATTTACCTAATCCTAATCTCAGTCCAGTGATTGAGATTAGCTCTTTCTAAGGGGTCCAACTGAGTAGGCGTCTTCCTTTCTCGCCTGAAGACGGAAACAGATCCAGTTCCCGAAACGTTCCGGACGATGGAAAAAGTCCAAAACCCCAGTAGCACATTATAACGTTACAATTTACTTCTTCTTTCCACCGGGTGTGGCAGCACTATCGTTAATTTCTGCACATAGCCCAATGATTGCTGCTAGAAGGCAGGAGATGCGCAATTTGTGCTGATGTGTGTATGAAATGCCTAATATCATACAACCGAACCAGCACACATGTTGTGTTGGTTGCCGGAAGCTCGATATTTAGGCGTAACTTGTATATCAGCTTGTACGTATACAACAAACACGTATCAGAAGCACTTGCAACTGGCGTGGTGTACATCTCTTGGCGTTACCAAGGAGATGGGTTTGTGGACATGTCGATATGTCGCGCCAAGTGAGCGATTAAAGTTGCAAGACTCCTACAGTCGTGAGATGACAAAATATGGCCATAAGTCCCGCGGGGCTCGAAACCAAGAATAACTCTGCTGGCAAGGACCAGCAGCAATTTACGCGATCCGAAACGAGTCAATGATCCGGCCTCTGAAGGCTCCCAGAGCCGTCAGGAATAAAGCACGGCCATGAGTCACGTTGTACTCGGAACCAAGGATGATCATACGGTTGGATATTTGGTTAAAGTGGTGGTAATTTAAGGATGGACAAACCGCCAATCATATAGTTAAATATTCATTAAACCAGACCCGTGATATTAAGTTAAAAAAAATTAAACTCCGTAGCCTGTAGCCCGCAAGCGAACTATACCGACCGAACGACCACCGCTTGTCGGCGAAGTCAATGCCAACTTTAGCAGATAGATGGTGTGGCTTTGTCAGCGCAACGGATCCCCACGGCCATTAATCTAGGTTTTCTAGACCGGAGCCGCTATTTCCTTTAAATAGCTCCTCAGTTATGCTCATGATGCTGAGTGGGGTCCGTTCCAGACTCACTACTTCTCAGAAAATCTGGTAGCGTCGGGAATCGAACCCGGGACCTCTGGATCTGTAGCTAGGAACTCTAATCACTAGACCACAGAAACGGTCTTGAACAATTACCACAATACCGAATTCTTCAGTCAATCATACCGTTTTTACTGTATGCATCCTATTGTGTGTCATATCAATTATACACACAATGAGGGCAGCCATTATACATTACAAATATCTTAATTTCTGAATAATTTTAATTTAATTTTAACTTTTATTGTTGGCCGCGCCATAGCGCAAGAGGTTAGTCGCTGGCTTCTCACCCGCGGCGGCCCGGGTTCGATCCCGGGTCTGGTCAAGTGAGATTTGTGGTGGACAAAGTGTACTGGGGCAGGTTTTCTCCGAGTACTTCGGTTTCCCCTGCCAATCTTCATTCCACCAATTGCTCCGCAATCACCCTCACCTATCATCTGGGGCTGGTACAAGAGGCCAGAAGTGGCCGCAGTACAAGGGACTTAGGCCCACCCCACTAGCAATAAAAAAAGTATATAAAACTCATGAGGACAGAATATGGATCCATACTGAAGTAAGGCGCATTTCAAGAACTAATTACTAGTATTCTTATACTCCTGATGATGACCCAATATAAGGGTCGAAATGTAGCATCAACGGCTACCTGTTGATACCTTAATGTCTATTTTGTTTTTCCGAAATATTGTTGTTATATATTTTATGATGATACAGTTGTTGAGGTATTCAACTTACCAATAAGTTTTGGAGTGACTAATGAGGCAGTAAAGTGCGTGCCAGTAAACTATCTCAGTCATCTTGTAAACAATCGGCTGCAACAGAGTCCACGAAACCAATCAGCCGTCGCGTCGGCCCGCAGGTCATCCTTCGAGGCGTCATAGCCACAGGGGGTACAGTACTTTCTCTGTCACGGAGCTCCTTTCACTACCCGACAGTCTTGCACAACACCCCTCCATACGATAAACAGGGAGGGGCACTTCTGTCGAGGCTACAGCGGAGTGGGAAATGCGTACTGATACCGGAAGGGACAGTTGAGTAAGGATATTCATATCTCTGACGTGCATTTCATTACGTGTCGCTTGAAATTCTTACGGAGGCCTATCAGACACGGCTTTCCTTACGGAGGAACAGTGAATGTTTATGGGGTTCCTGTCACTGAAAGAAATATCTGGGGAACTGAAATTTCGATGGAAACATAACATTCTACTGACTACTGTTACCAGCTTCTGTCCCTGTTCAACTACGTATTTTGCTGGCCTGTTTTACTCTTCGACCCTGAAGACAGAAGCAATATGTTCCTCCGAAATGTCGGTGTACTACTAGATTTCAAGACGACACATCCCAGAATACGGTACTATTAAGAGGAAAGAAACTTTCGGGTTCCATATAAAGCACAAGATTTCTCGACTCTCTCAACTAATACTGTAGAGCTATACCTGTAACAGGCTGTGAGGCCCATAGGGTTGTGAGACGTCGAGGTTCTCATATTTTCTAGACAATTGGCGCACAGATGTCGGTGAGGTTGTCAGCCTTAACCCCTAGGAAGATTCCTGGTATTCATTTCTGTTAAGAGGCTGGGTCGAGCCCAGGGTCCATAGTGCGGCTGGAAATATTAGTTTAATTGTAAAACCAATGACCTCATCGGGAATCGAACCCGCGATGTTCCGGTTTGTAACATAGCGTCTCAACCAACTACGCTAAGGCGTTCACCCTGAGCTAATATTGGGTCCTTAAAAGGGGTTGGTTTTTATATTGGTTTACAAGAATATTGTTCAACTTGCTTTTGCCATATGCAGAAAGTTACGACTTTTTGCTGCAGCGGGACTCAGCTACAGCCAGCAGAAGCAACTGCCTAGACGCATTACGCAGAAAAGGAAAACATTAAACATCTAGTACCATACTTGGTTTATGAATGCAGCCGAACAGTGACTGCTCAAGTTCTGAGACAAGACCACACCGAACTGTTTATTCCTCCCTGCGTTTGTTGTGGTTTACTTTACGACACAGTCAATATCCCCGACTATAAAGCGGTGAATGTTACGGTGATTGATAAACAATAATTTGGAAAAGTTCTGAAAGGCGGCCTTCGTGGACTGATAGAGGTAATACCTCGGAATTTTTCTGAAGTGACTAACTCACTGCCATCTGTGAACCGATTGTCTAGAAAAATGTGGGAGCCTCGACGTCCACAACCACATGGGCTTCCACGGCCTGTTACAGGGATAGCTTTACATCTTCATATGTGCAATATGTCCTTTGGTACTTGTTTATTGTGAATCAGTGAACGGATATTCAGGGAGGAAAGGGCTAAAGACGCAAATTGTAAGAAAAAAAAAACAATTTGGGTCCTCACCCGTCGGTAATGCCAGTCAGGCCATTGTGCGCAGACTCGAGTAATGAACCTCCGTTTATTGATAAGCAGGAATAAAATTGTGCAAGTAACC